GGATCTGGATCTGGATCTGGATCTGGATCTGGATCTGCCACCGCTTGCTCTTCACTCGAGAGGCGATGCAGTCGGCGTGGTTGAACGGCGGTGCTTGCGGGTTTGCGCGTGGTGGCCGGCGGCGTGGTTGAACGGCGGTGCTTGCGGTGCTGATGATGGGGTTTGGTGGAGAGGAGAAATCGGAGGGAGGGAGGCAAAGATGATAGCGAGAGCGCGAGATATGAGCGAGAGTCTGAGAGGTTTTGAGGGAAGAGAGGTTTTGCGTGAATAAAGTTTTGAACTTTAACCCTCAAACCCAGTAATCGAGGCAAATATAGGCCTCGGTTAATTTCCAACCGGTGCAGTATACTCTTTTCAAAAACGGGTTTAAAAGAACCGGTGCAGTATACTCTTTTCAAAAACGGGTTTAAAAGAACCGAGGCATATAGTGTTTCCAAATTTACATTTCTGCCACCTCGTTTTTATATGTCTCGGGTCTTCAAAAACCGAGGCATAATACGCGATTTCAAAACTCTATTTTTTAGTAGTGGATGGGTGGTGAGTTTAATGGTCATAGGAACATTCCATTAACATGTGAGTGAGTTTAAATCCATTAACATGCCATTATAAAAACATAGTTTGGTTCAATCCATGAATATTAACATTGAAAGAAGACGTTGTGAATTGGAAATGTTTGATACAATCCATTACAATAATCGTTAAAAATGTTAATGTGAGCATGATAAGAAAGTAGACATTCCATAATTTTATCAAGTAGACATTCCTCCTCCTGAGTCAATCTTTCATTCAAAGCACAAAACAACTTGGTTTTGAAAGAATGTCGCACACACAACTGCATAAAAAAAACTTTTCACATTAGAACAATCCAAAAAATAATCAACAAAACTGGAAACACAAAATGGAAAAGGGAAAAGGAAAGGGAAAAGGGAAAACGCGAAAGGGGAAAGGGGAAAGGGAATAGCAGAAATATTTTACTCTCATCATCGAAATCACTAGAAGTTTCCATTTCACAACCTACAACTCAAATAAGGGGAAAGGAGAAAGGTGTCTCATCGGTGAACGTTGAATCGAAAAAATAAAAGGCCCTAACGAATGAGGGCAACATCTTGACATTAGTGATGGTGGAAGAAACAGAAAAGGAGTCGTCGGAGAAAATGATGGAACGAGAGAGAAAGGAAAGAGAAGGGAGAGAACAAAAATAAAAGAAAAATAAAAAAGAGAGAACCAAAATGAAAATAGAAGAAGAGAACCAAAATGAAAATGGAAGAGAAAACGAAAATTAAAATGAAAGAAAAGAAAAAAAAAAGAAACTCTGAAATGTATGTCTTTCTACGTCAAATTTTAAACCGACCAATGAATTATTGAGATATGGTTGTTGTCAACAAAATTGTAACTGGTCCTTTTAAACATATACATATGTTGTTATTGTACCTATTGATCTGATTAAGTACCTAAAGAATTGGTGTTATCACTTTAATTGCATAATTTTGATGATGTTGAACAAATTACCATGCTTAATTGTCAATCATCTTACAGTTCATGGCTAATTGTCAACCCACACAGTGCATGTTTAATGCCCTTTCTTTTCTTCCTTTTTTACCTTTTCCTTTTCATAGGGAAGCATAATAATGAATCAAAGTAACCATTGTGTAATTGTCAACCACCTTCCTGTTTACATACAAATAATTGCTCATGTACTGTACACTAAATTTAAATAATTTTACCCTAAAGTCTCATATCTAGCTAATTCTAATTCCAATATTTTAAAAATATAAAAAAAAATCTGTTTTTTATTTTTATAAAACAACTTTATTCTATTTTTTGTTTTTAGCACATCAGTGTTTTCGCAGGAATTTAATTAATGAGGTGCGGAATTCAAACACTTAAATTATAAGATTCATGAAATGTGCACAAGTGGTATATCCAATGATTTAAAAAACAAAACTGATAATGTCGCACTGTTTTACAATGTGATGTATAAGCATTAATTTATTCTAATATTTTTTATCTAATTTTTTAATCTTTTTACTTATGTATGATGACCCCGCTGTCATTATTGACTTTTGATTTTTACACTAATTAATCCAGAAAAAAAGAGAGGTAACAGAGCACAATAAACCCAAAAAGGAACATGAATTTAGACTTGGTGAGGCATATGAATTGCATTTGTACCTGTGCATTAGAGTGAACATCTTAATCTTAATCATATTAATTTGCCACTTATAATGCAAATTAGTCTTGAGGCACCCCCACCAAAAAAGAAAAAGAAGAACATAACAAGAAAGGGTGGGTAAAATCACAAGATATTATGACATCACTTGGACCTCAATGTTGGGGTGAAATTTCAAGCTTCATCATGTGGCTTGACAAAGAGGAACAACAATTGAAGTTACTTTGGCCAAGGTATCTTTGTCTACAAGCAAAACAAAGATCTTTCACTGCTTCAGATGCTATTATTCTCACACAGCAACATATATATGTGCTGCATATTTATTAATTTTCAATGGATGCAGTGTACAAGTGTGAATTAGTTCTTTTCTTTATGTATAATTTTTTTCAAGATTCATGTCATAATCCATTCCAGTATCTGCATGAGTATCCTTAAAGTGCACCATTTATGATGATTCTTAATTTCTGCCGTATAAGGTTAGATAATACAGATGCATGCGTCTACAACTTGCAAAATAATCAAAAGGGCAAAGCCTCAAAATGTGTTCCTCTTTTGTCATTGTTTTTGTCCGAATTGATAAATTCAAATCGAAAGGTGAATTATTATTGTATGTAAAATATGTTTAAAAATGGATACCATTTTTTTCTGATTTAGTCTTTAAAATTCAATTGGTTAATTCTTTTTGAAATACTATACATTTCGGAGTCCAAACAAATTATCAATATAATCATGATTGCACAAACTATTTAATGGCAGCTTAATAATATGCATATTGAACACATTGTGTCGTATAAATTATTATATTAACAAATATATCGTTATAGTTATCTTTTTAAAATAGACAGAATCATAAAAAGTAAAGAAAGAAATGTAAAAAGTGTATCTCCCCGTTACCCAAATTAAACGAATAAGACAATCATTAATGTCCCTCAAATAATCCTTCTAATATAAGCATTATTCCGATCTGTTAATATAAGCAACCGTAAAAAAAACTAATGTATATTAAAAATGATCAGGCCTTATTATTTTATGAATTTGAACCAAAATTTAGCTGGTAAAAATAAGATATCATAGCATTAGATATAAATTATTTATACATGCACAGGAAGTTATATCTGGTACAAAGTTCCTTATAGCAGAAGTTACATTATCTCCAAAAATTACACCTTGTATAAATCCTCGGGGGATTTGGGCTCCGTCACTTCAATATCACGAGCAAGGGTGAGATATCCTTAACTTAGAATTGTTGAGGATATCCTAAAACATTTCCATGCCATCATCTGCAGCCATCTCCTCATCAAGCTCAAAAGTAATTCCCTGCAGATAAATAATAATCAACAATAAATATCTCACAAGACGATAAAAAAGGAGCCCCCAAAAGAATTTGATAGCGGAATCTTGTCAGTATATATGTATGGCCTTTTAGAGTAGACAAACAAGTTAGGCCAAATAACATAACTGTTAAAAAACTTACGGATCACAGCTACCTCACAAAGAAACATGAACCAAGATAATTTTACAAAGTAATAAACAGAATGCAGGACTTACATGACGTGCAAGCATGTAACAGAATGACTTCTTTCGCAGCACATCATTACAAGAGGTGAATACCTCCCTCACATGCTTTCACAACACTGCAACTAATCAGTTTCAAGCCACAGTAATAGATACAAAAGATAAATATTTCCTGATTCATATATCTATCTATCTATATATATACACACTCTGAGAATTGAACCTCTGCATAAATACACCCATAAACCTCTGCATTATTATAAAATAAAACATCACTCTCAAATTTCAACACCAAACTTAGAAGCTTCGGAACCTCTGTAACTATAAAAAAAAAAATTGTCAGTAAAACCAGACTTCCCAATCTACAGTATCCTTAGCACAATTGTAGTAAGAGATCCAACGACAACTTAAGCAAACAGCAGTTCTCATTCCCAAAGTATTGGAACACTCATCACTTATAGAAGACCAGGGTGATAAACTAAGATTGTTTAGTTACAAAATAATTTAGTATAGGGATTTAGAAATTAATATAGAGAAATCATAGAAATAGAAAACCAAATGAAAAAGCATGAAATTGCAAAACAAAAAATACAATCAAACCATTAAAGATACAAACGTTCATATGCCATGATAAATTCTTACTCCCTCCAGTCATTATTATAAGACCTTCTAGAAGCTCTATATGGTCCTTTTCGGAAGGCACTTTATACTTCCAATGATACATTTAACGTTTTATTACTTATTCATCCTTATTAAATGTTTTAGGTATGTATTTTTGGGTTTGTCTGCAACGATGAGAGCTTATAATTCACGTACTTTCCAATGAAATGTTATTTGGACCATTTTCAATTCCTAAAGATTGTGCCATTTTCTACATAAACTTCCATTCATTTATAGGTCACTCAACTGACTATCCAGTTGTCATTCATGTAAGCTTTGATAAGCTATTTTCTCACTAAACATTCTCATTCACATATCATTTCACTCTTGCTTTGAAAAAACTGATTACAGAATTTTCAATTTAGTGGGAGAAGTTATAAAGGGAACTTATCAATTCTTGATTAACAATCTCAATGTCTGTTCAGATAATTTTGGTTGTGTAAAAAATAAAATCTCAATGTCTCAACGCATTAGTAAAAATATCAGAATAAACATATGGTTGATCGTTCCTGCACCTATTAGACCCAAGGAAATTACTGCCGCCTAAAGCATATAAATTGTTTTAGCTACAAATAAGCAATGGTATATATAGACTCAAATGTTCAAAGAGACTTGAGATCTCACCATAGCTACTTCTGAATCCATATCATGGCTCGGTCTACTTAAGGTATCCATAACACTGACCTGTAATGTTTCAGTAAAAATTTAGCAAATGTTATCAAAAGTGATGTCTGCACCCATACAATGATATAATAGTTTGAACTACAAGTAATGTTTTTCAGAGCACGGTTAATTTGTTTCACTTTCACACTGTTAAAAGTTAACGCTGCAAAGTGCACTTTTTACCTTTGGATTTGATATGCAAAGTAGACCAAGTGCCAGAGGAACTGCTCTACAAATATTCTGCTCTCCATACTGTAGATGTTCTAATGATCGAATTGTCATCTCAAGTCCCAGTTCTTCAGCCACGGCTACCAGAGCAATTCCAAGCACACCAGGACCTTGGTGAGTTTTACATTTATCAAGATGTTGCAAACAATGACCTAAGAGATTCTGGACCTACAAGAGCCAGAAAATACAAACATAAAAACATGCATACACACAATTATGAACATATAAAGGTGCCGCAGAAGTTTATTTTTTAAAAACTTCATAACATTGTACCTTGAGAACATTTCGAGTTCCAGCATAGGCACATGACAAGCGTCATGTCACAATACTTTCTAATTTTTTCATTAAAAGTCTTTGAAACTTCGGCAGTTGCATCAACACTGTCCTGCAGTAACAAAGCACAAATGAAGAGTGAGTATTATACCTTAACAACTTTGACCTCACCCAATAGCAGGACCCGCACAATATCAATTGTTATTCATAAACTAAAGAAATAAGATTAATGAGGTGAGAAGAAAATAAACTCTAATTCAAGAAATAAAAACAACATACTGCCGACCAACTGATTACCTGCTTCCCAAGATATAGAAGATCAAGGCCAAGAGGTAAAAGTCGGGTAAGGGGCTCTCCTAACTCTGACTCACTCCTGTCCATTAGTGTATATATAATTTCTTGGGCAATTTCCTCATTGCAAGAACCCTCAAAGATCAAGCCCAGAGAAATAGCATTGAAAGCAAGCACATCAAGTGATGCTTTAGAATCATTCAGTACACCTATCAATTTCTCAGGTAACTGAAATAAACAAAAACAAATTAAAAACTTTACACATTTGCATATAGTGTGTATCTCAATTCGGAACAAATTTTATTACAAGATTTTCCAAAATATAGAGAAAACATATCACCTGCTCACTCTGGGAACCAGCATATGCAATACCCAAACCCATTATAACACCAATCCTGATTGATGTGTCTTCTTTATCTGTATAATCACCAAGAAGTGCCCTTGCCTGAAAAGAAATCAAATCATATCTAAAATATAAATAAAGAATCTCATGTATATGTGTTGCCAGATTCTGGTAGTGGAAGAATCTTATGAATAAGGTGTGGAAAAGGGCTTAGAGGTTTTGGAATTTCAACCGAACCTTTTAACATTTTCACCACAACACTCATTACAGGTCTTGAGTCTTGCTTATATTGAACACATGACAGAGCTACCTTCATCATTCTTTTTGCAGTCTCTTTATTTTGATCATCTATCCCACTTGCTACCATCAATTCTTCTGCTTCTTTAACTTCAATTTTTTTTCCAAATCCACATTGGTAACCACTCCTGGCTCACAGCAAGGTCAACTCAAAGTTTTTTCTCCTTCCAAGGATTTCAAATAACAGCATCCCAAAGTTGTAAACATCACATTTTTGAGTTACAGGAAAATTTGGCGACCAAAGATCTGGTGCAGCATAACCAGGAGGGCCTCTGATAGTGGCATATTTTATCATGATTTCATTATTGAATTAAGAGAAAATGTCAACTTTTTCTTAACTTTTTGCCTTGTAAATTTTAGTTTTCTTTTAGTTTCTTAAGTGGTTGCATCTTAAGCTTTAATAAGATAATTTGATCACTAATCTCTGCTTTTATGTGCTTAAAGTAGTTTGAAGAAGTCTATGCATCAAATGAAGGCACTGGAACCCAAGTAGAGCAAGAAAAACAGCATAATAGGAGAATTCTGGAATGCTGCCGCTGGGCTACCATTGAGCGCTCTGTCACTGGAATTTCTGCCGCTGGGTGCCGCTTGGTTGCCGCTACGCTGATGTGGCAAAAATAGGTCTATTTAGGTCTGAAACGTGAATGGCTTGACATCTTTGGGCACCCAGACGCAATTTCTCTCAATTGGAGTTCTTGGAGGCGAGTTAGGAGCTGTGGGAACAGTCCTTCTTCTTCCTTGGGTTCTCTCCCTTCTTCCATTTCCACCATTGTTGATAGGATGATGAGGGTGTATGTTAGGAGAAAGAAGAGTATGTGAGTAGTTAGTTGTATTAGCTGGCCTAACTGTCTGACAGTTAGAAAAGGGAACACTTATTTGTAATAAATGTTTAAGGGGATAAGGTGAGGGGGATTTGACAGTTAGTAGTTTTCTAAAACCGGATTTGGGTTATCCTTGTGTGGGGAAGGTTAAGCTTCCTTTTGTTCTTCCTATTCTTGCATTCTTTTCTTGAAGTCAATAATATCAGAGGTTATACAGACTTTCTCTGTACTGTTTCCGATAGTTGTTGAGGGAGAGATAGGAATTCTTTACACGAAAGCCTATCAATTGTTGTAAGCTCAAGCTCTCCGGTCATGGAGTGGAGAGCTAGTTTCATTATTATTGGGGGATTGATGTAGTCACTGAACTCTTATGTAATTGCTATTGATTTGAATATATTTGATGCTTCTTTCATTGATTGCTAGTATTTTGTTCCTTCTCTTAATGCTTGTTGTGAAATTGCTACCCATGGCATGATTATTGGTTTGCTTGATATTGAGAAATATTGTGTAAACCTAGAATTGGAACAAATTACCAAAAGGGAATTGTCTCTAGGGTAAAACGTGGACTTTTGGTTGTCTTAGATCTCAATCTAAGTGGATTAACTTGTTAGGTTTTCCAAGGGATTGGAGTTTAATAAGGAAGTCTAGACTCTCTCTACCAAGAGATTGGTTTTGAGTAAATTAGAAGATTGGCATTAGTAATTTAATGAAGAAGGTGTAATTTTATATGCATAAGAGTGAAGTAGGTGAAATCATATCCCCAACAATACCATTTCATATCATTTCTAATCTTTCCATTCCTAAGTGTTTGAGTTACCAAAGTTCACTTTATCATTCTTGTATGTTTACTTTAATTGCATTAAAACCCAAATTATGGAATCATTCTTAGTCTATATAATTAGAAATTATACGATTGTTTAGTGACACAAGTATCGTGGAAGACGATATCCAGTCTTCATATTTATTACTTGAAACGATTTGGTACAGTTGCCAAAGTCTCAACCGTCTCTATCCTTAGTCAAGGTAATGAAGAAAGTAACCGACGGGTAGCACTTCATCTGATCAAACTTCAGTCGTCGACAGTCAATTCGGGCCAACTCAACCGTGAAACCCATAATCTCTTGTAGTCTTGAACCATTTTGAGAATATAGTTCGTTGCAAAACTGTGAAATACGGACGTGGCAAACACAATAAGGAAAATACGAAACTAATTATTTACAAGCATTAGTACTCCACAAATACGAAATTTAAAACCAGTAGAATTACATAATCTTCGATATGTTTCGACTACTTAGTACAATTGCGCTTAGTTTATATCCAAGTATCAACCAGATTCAAGAGCCAATACACACCCCCTTTTTCTTCAGATGAATTAGAGATCCAAGGTTATTTCTCAGGAAAAAAAAAGAAGCTTGAGAGTTTACAAAATGCGATTAAAAGTCATACCTGCGCTTCCACATTGCAATGTCAATCTTGGTTTCTCAGAACTGAAATGTTTATCTGGCACTGAAGTGGAAAAAGGAAATAAATTGAAATTGGAAACCCTAAATGGATCTTAAATGGTAATATAAGAATCTGACCTGTGGACCTTAGGATAAAAAATTCATTGGTGGATTGACCTTGTCTTTGCAAGAGACACACTCCTTAGAGGAACTTGTTGTGTCCACAATCCATTAGATGCCCTAGGTTTTAAAATTGGGGATTGTCAGAACTTCATGAACCCTACAAAGAAAATTGTCAGATTTGATGCAAACGGAGAACAACATTGTGTTTGTGTTGTTCTAGGAAGGGAGGAACCCGAAGAATAACCAAGAAAAGAGTAGGAAATCACGAAATAGAATCGACACCGAATGCATCTTTATTGATTGGAATGGAATTTGAATGAATATTATATATATAATTATATATTATATTATATATAATTTCATTTACACTTAAACAACTAATGGCTTATAAACTGTAACTTGTCCGAAGATTAACTAATTATTTTTAATGCATCTCGATTCTAAGTTAAAGTTAAGTAACTCAATATTGGGTTAAATATGTTTTTAGTAGTCCCTAAAAACTATTGGCCGTTTCTGGTTTTCGTCCCTCTTTTCAAAGTAAGGTACAATTTGTCCTCCATTCTTTTTCGAACGTTCCGTTTTATCCCGAATTTTGGTTTTAGTCCTCATTTGTTGCTAAATGAGGACGCAAAATTTTTTAAAAAACAGTGTTTAGTTTTTCGAGGACTAAAACGCACGTTCGAACAGAATGAGGACCAAATTGTACCTTACTTTGAAAGAGGGACGAAAACCAGAACGGCCAATAGTTTTAGGGACTAAAAACATATTACCCCTCAATATTAGCCTAGATTTATCTTCTTTTATCAATTCTTCCTTTTTAAGCTAATCTTTGTTTTTAAATAAAAAAACACTTATATTTTTCGGAATGCTTCTTACTAACAACCTTATTTCCTCTTCTGACTATCTTTTTATTTAGGATCGCTTTTCAGTATTAGATTTTTATTTCTTCATCATTCCATAGACTTGTCTTTAAGGGTGTAATTTCACAAACATTAAATCTTCAATTCAAAGGCCATATAGGATCTATTTTTGTCACTAGTTGTTTCATTCTTTCTTGTGTTTTTTTCATGTGGAACTGTTCTTTCTCCCTCTTTTGTAGATTTATATCAACAAGTTCAATCTTGGATTCTCCTGGTAAATAGAGTAAGTAAGTTGGAGGTGTTTGTCCGTACATGATTTCATAGGAACACTGGCCTTAATAGTTTTGTGATATTTAGAGTTATACCATCATTTAGCTAAGGGAAGTCATTTGGACTATTGTTTAGGATCATTTGAGCACATACACATCAGATATGTCTCAATACACATTTTTACTACCTTTGTCTGCTCAAATAATCTATTTGAGGATTGTAAGTAGTAGAAAGTTAAACTTGAATCCCTTGGTAAGCCATGAAGTCCTTCAAGAATTGACTGACAAAAATTGGATCCCTGTCACTTATTATTGAAGATGGATAACCATGAAGCTTAAAGACATTATTCATAAAACATGAACTACATCAAAGCCAGATATGGGTGTTGTATGTTATGAATGAGTCAACCTTGGCTCAGCCTATCAATAACCACAAATATCACTTGTTTTCTAAAGGAATTTGGGAAGACCCTCTAAAAGTCCAATTGTAATTTATGCCAAATCAATCAGGGATTGGGAATGGTTGTAGTAACCCATGAGAGGCAGAATTATCATACTTACATTGTTGACAGACAATACATTAAAAGATAAACCTTTTAACATCCTTAAACAATCCTTTCTAGAACACCATTGTCTTGACTTTTTTATAAGTGGCATATCTACCTGAATGACCACCACAAGATGAAAAGTGTAACCAATCAAGTAATTTCCTTCTCAGTTCAGGATTTATATATAATATATATATATATATTATTATATATGTATATATACATACATAAATGTATACATCATACATATTATTATATTATATGTGGTGTGTGTTATGTATATATATTGCGTATCTATTTATAAATAATAAGTAAGTAAATTTGGGTCTTGTATCATGGGCCAAATAGTATAGAATTTCCATTTGGACCTTGTATGATGGACCAAGTAGTGTAGGGTTTTTGTCAACTTGAGTTAACAAAGGTTAACATTTAATGTTGACCCAAGAGAGATGCTATTCTAGATTACTACCTGGACCGAAGTTTGTCTTAGCTTTGGAAAGCAAGTTTGGGAGAAAATTTTGAGTGTCATCCTCTCAATGGACAGAATTTTCAATAGGAGTGGGTCATGTTTCATCTAGGAATGGAGAGGATGCCTTCCCATGTTAATGGCCATATGTCCTCTTCCTAATGGAAAGAATTTTGGCCTTAGTTTTTCCAAGCTAACTAAGTTGAGATTTTTAGATTTTTATTTCTATAAATTTGGAGACATCTTAAGCTTATAAATAGAGGTGTTTTCTCCCATGTAAATTCACTTTGAAATTAGTATTGCTATGATGTCAACTTATTGTTCCATCATACTTGTTTTTAAAGTCATGGTTAGAGCATTTCATGTGGTTTCATCTAGCCACCTTCCTTGAGAGTTGGCTTAACCTCTTTTAAGAGCCATCAAGTACCACCATACCTTCACTCCAAACACTAAATCGAGAGCTATCATCACTCATTCCCCATTTCTTGAGGGCATCTCATATTTATGGTCTCATCTTCATGTTTTGGATCATCCAGATTAAGAAGGAGATTATCAAACCCCATTGGTCACCTTCAAAATCACCATCGCTTACATCGTTGACAAAACTGTGAACTTAGTTGAACCAACATACAAATGTTCTTTGCATCAGTAGACATTGTCCTAATACGCATTGCTTGGGCAACAAACTTAAATGTTAACATCGCAATCATCTCCTTTATCGTGAGACAACATGTTCGATTGGGAGACAACAAGTCAGTTGGGGAGATATTGAGAAGTCTATTAATTATCGTATCGTGGTGCTATGTCGAAGGAAACCACATCATAGATAAGATTTCCCTAATTTTGTTTGCATTCAACTTTCTTAGTCCAACAATTGCACAAAGATATCTAAATTTCACTTTATCACCATTTATACACCTCATGTATGTTGTGCAAATTGGTATTAATTTTTCAAGTCCTCTATCATATTATCACTAATGCTATGGTGAAGTCATCAATATCGATCCATACGTATACTATACTAAAATGTGTGTAATAATTTTAATAACTACAATGAATGTAGGAACCAGCCTCCCCTTTGTATTCAAGATTCGACTTTAGCTCATTCAAAGATATCATTTTTTTTTAGTTTATTGCTAAATATCAATTTTAAACAACATTCTTAATAGTTCAACAAAAATTTCTCTGCATTTTCTCATTGGTCCTTCAAGTTACACGAAATGAAAGTTGATTATCAACCACAATGCAAATATGCACCAAACGATCATACAAAATATAATTAACAAATTTTCATGATTTTTAAGATATATATATCGATATAATATATAGTATATAATATTATAATATATTGATATATTTTATACTAATAAACTATTAAAAAGATATTAATCTTCTTAAGTTGTCCAACCAAACAATCCAAAATTCAATACGTAATTAATAGTGTCTTCTCTTACATATGATTTTTTTTAAAATACAATTTTTTTCATAAAACTTAGAGGTAGTAAATAATTTTCATACTACATCTCAAACAGGAAACTAAGGTTAACTCAATAACAATATCAGATAAACAAAATTTAAGCATATATAATTATGAATTAAGCAATAATAGAAATAATATAGCATTATCAACGCATTACAAAAATCATTTAACCATAAAAAATAGACTTTATATTAATATAAAGAAAATATGTAAAAACATATTTATTAAAAATTAAAAAATGCGTATGACCTTGAGAAATTGGAAAGCAAAGATGAATGTCAAGTCTTTCATATGTTCGGAATGGCTAAGTGAAAAATTGTGTAATGTAATACTCTGACAAAAAATAGTTGCATTAGATAAGAAAAGTTTACGAAATAGAAGAAAAAAATTACAAACGCTTTCGAAATAGGAAGAAAGGAAAGTTCATGTTAGGGTCGTAAAGGAAGGGAAGCGAGGAGAGTGAAGGAGTGGTAGGAGTGGTGGCTCACAGTTTGTGTCAACTGACAACAAAAAGGAAGGGAGTTGGAGAAAAGTGGTAACAAAGAGCGATAGTGTGGTCGATGTGTTGGCATGAGGAATAGAGGATAGTGGAGTGAGTGTGGGTCTTGCATTGCAAAAAATTAACCCTTAAAATTGGATCTTTAGGGTTTTGGTTATTTTTAAAATCAATATCTATTCATTTTCAATTTTTCAAATAGCTAAAGCTTAAAGGGATGCTACATAAATAAAATATTTTAAAATGAAGTGAAGTTATGACATTTTATTGAACATTTAGGCACTAGTTCTTGGACAACCGAAGCTACTTCTCTTTTAGGCTTTGATTTTTGGAGAACCAAGCCTAAAGCGTGCAACTAAAAAGAATTATACAAGTAATAATGTCAATTTTGAAATTAATAAGAACGTACATGCTTTGATTCCTAAACAATTGAAGTGTTTTTATTTATAAGTTTCGGTATTTAAGGAAATCAAAGCTTAAACGTTCCCAGTAAATTTTAAAGTGTCATCGTATTTATATTAACTTTTGTTTTCTTTTAACTCAATGCATATTAGATGAAATTAAATGAGATTTTTACACTAGTGTGATAGGGGCTAAGCTATGATGGTGAGGAGAAGAAAAATATTGGAGAGCATGCTAAAACTATTGTGTGGGGGTGCTAGTGAAAAAGATGAATATGAAAATTGTTGTGATGATCATGTATGAATGAAAGAGAGGAAAGTTTCAAAAAACATCACATATGTCAAATATAACATGTTCTATATCTGCGATGCCTTAAAGTGAAGAATGTATTTTAATTATATCTAAAATATAAGAAGACTTCATATAAACTTCAGAGGATAAATGAATTCTAATTTTACAAGTTTAAAATATTTATCTTATTTAATCAACCTAGCATACTAACTTGAAAATGAAAATGTCTTTGAAAAATCCGAATTCATATTTCTTTTCTTTATATGAGAGGATTCAAGCAAAGTGGATAGATTTCGGAATAAAAATGGAGGACATGAACCTCAGTGGCACCTCTCTCTCGATCTAATTAGTAAAATTACATTTACATGTATCATAATATTTTATTCATTAGCATTTTCGACATGAGGTTATAGAAATTCTTAAATACTTTTGTCCTTCTTTTTTCATCCATCCAAAATGATCACAAGTCCCTATGTATAGATCTATGTGGTAATAGTCACCAAAATAAAATATTTATTTTCAATGACCATAAAAATAGTTTAGTTAATAAAAACTAAAGATTTAATATTTTCAATGCACCAAATATCAAAAACTCCACGTCTCATATCTCGTGGACTTCATATTCTAATTTCCCAAAGCTAATTAGTGGCAAGCAAAAGGCATGCACTGTTCCTTCCACCTCTAAATGTCCTTCACCCATTTTCTCTTGTTTTTTTCTTCCACTCATAAATTCACACCATTTCCTTGTAGAGTCAAATCAATACTTAAAACATTAATTTGGTGCCTTTTTTTTCCGGCTGGATAAGAGCAACAAACTGAAATCTTCCAATTTTTGCAATTGAAAAATTTGATATAAATAGAAAAATACCATTTATTAATCTCCTAATTTTACTATGTAAACAATACAAGTGTTTAAGAGATTTGGAATTTTTGCTACTATTTGCTTGAGCTCTAAAGTGTACAGATTTAGCCAAAGCAAAAACCAAAGACTGACACATTCTCCTGCACAAAAATATCGGGGATGAAAGGAATATTCTATCAGCTAGCAGCAATAATTAACAGTATTCAAAATCCCATAGAAGATTTTATAGCACTCATTCTCTGAGGCCTTAAAATCTACAGAAAGTTTATGCATTTGCTCAAGGTGTTCCTGGTGTCTTTGGATCATGCCTGTTGTTTGCTCCAGTCCCTGGATAATCATTATTTTCAAAATCAATCCTTCTCTCCATAAACTCTTCTGCTAGATCAAACAAATCTTCTCCACTTCTCAATTCCTCAACACCCTGAAACCATAGACCCAGAAATTGTATTTTCAGTTATATTACAGACCCCTTTGCTGCATGCAGATACAGTACAGGAACATCAGAATATATCAAAAGGTAAAACTTGAAGACAGTATCATAGCATTGGTGTTAATTTTCAATCAGAATGGTTTTGTTTTGTCAATCACTTGTTTGAAAGTTAAAATCTGATTGAAAGGACTAGGATTAGATTAAGTTCAATCATAAGGGTCTAAATTATTATAACCTTATCTGATGAAATTTGGGCTGAGAGATTTTCTTTGTTTGGCAAAAACCTTCCTGCAATCAGTGAAATTTGCACATAGCATTAAAATGAATTATGAAAACAAGAGAAGAGATTTAGCATAGATTAATTATATGAAAAGTTTAATTTATATTCTTACTGGTTTGCACAGCAGCAGAAGACATAACAAAAGAAAGGGCCAGAAGAAGGATAAGGAGCAATTGCATAGGAGATTTGGGGTTCATGTTGAAGAAGAAGAAGAAGAGGGATCTGAAAGGTGACAAAGAAATGGTAAGAAAGAGAAAGTTGAAGAAGGTGAATTTTATGGAATACTTTGGAGATGGTGTTTATATGGAGAATGAGAACCCAAGTACCATTGCTTGATCCAAAGTCAACCTAAACTTTAACATTTTCATTAATTATTGATTCTTCCAAAGCATTTCAAAATGAAATATTGTGGATGTGTTTCAACTTTCATGTCCATGTACCACAATCAATGTGCCTTTCCCCACACATCACTGATCTATTTTGGATTTGTTTTTATTAGGTATTAAAAAATAATTTTGAAATCAAATAATATTTTTAAATTCGGTATAGCTTTAATGAGTAATTTTTATATAAAGTCAAAGTTCTTATAGTCTATTTTATACACAATGTAAAAATAGTGTAGGCTATTTTTTCTTCTTCTCATATGTTAGTGTACTATTATTACTTTGTACTTGAATAATGTATGTAAAACAATTGTATTCTTCTTAATTATTCTCTCAAGGAAAAAAATATATATATATAAAGGTCAAAGCTATTCCTATTGCTGTTAACATACGTCCATGAATAATAACTAATTTTAATTTAAATATTAAGAGGTTAATAATATATAATATAGTTAACTAATTTCTTTTAATTTTGTGTGAATTTTTTTTTAAATTGAGAGAGGAAAGGTATTTGTATTAATTATATGTGAAATTATAAAATAAGATTATAGGTTACAATTTTTATATTTATTTGATATATAGTATAGGAATAAAATATTTATAAAGGAATGAAATTTTATATTTTTTTAAGAAAAAAAATAAAAAAGAATAATATCAAATAAATGTAGAAATTATATGGGTGTGAAATTATAGGTAAAACGTTTTTGTTAGGACGATATTTAGATAACAAAGTTTTGGATGGATTGAAAGTTGTTGCAAATTAAAAGCTGAATGTGCAACAGAAACCACTGGAAGAGTTCACGGGTTTGCATAGGTGTCGTGCAAAGGAAGGATCAGTTTTGGAATTATTTATTTTTATCACCATTATATTTATACCAAATATTTATTGATTTTGTTCAGGAATCATTTTTTTCCGACAAATCTCTTTAGTTTTTATTGTAAGATTTTTCTTCTTATAGATGATATCATATTTCAGGATAAGAACCTGCATCTTTCGTTTTTCTTGGTTGTTATTATAAGGGTTTCCCTGTCACAAGATATAAGTGTCACATATCTGTAGTATTTGAAAACAAATACATGTGTAATGTAAAAAGTAATTATATAATATCATTTTAAATATATAAATGCTTTATAGAAAAGTTTAAAAAAATTGAACTACAATATAATTTGAAAATTTTCATAATTTAGTTTTATATTTTATGCGAGATGTCAAATCCAAAATCCAATTCCACTGCTACTCATCAAAGCACTGAAGAATTCCTTGCTAGGTTTCATTTTTGTAACTCAAGAAAATAACATGTAGAAAATAGAGAAACTTACAAAATCAGATAAAAGAAAATGGATTGAGGAAAGAGTACGGAGAGCACACCATCGGAAAATATACTCAAAACATAAGTGCAAAGAAAATTCATCTTTAAAAAAAAAAAAAAAACTCTCCATAACAAGAATCAAAGCTTAAATAACCTTTCATACTAAACATTCATTTCTTATATTAACAAAACAATTTAGCACAGAATTCATTTATTATATTTTCGTGGAATGTGTAAGTAAAATTTTTTTTAGAATCCAAATGTGAGTCCAAATCTTACATTGTGTAAAAATGAGAGAGTGAAGTAATATATAAAAGTGAACATTCATTAACCAATTATAAGATTTTGAATAGAAGGTGGTGTCAATCTCTTATGTAGTTGGACTCAGGTCTCATTGTTGTATCTCTTCCGTGAAAGGTGAAGACCCATTATCTTCAGGTTTTAGGTAAAGAGTTATATCAATCCTATTTATAGTTGGACTAAGATCTCATTGATTATATCTCTCCAATGAACCTCCTCCTCGATAAACCTATAATTGATATTAGAGACGATGGTTCAAGTTTGGTGACTGGACTCAGACAAGTACATCCCTCCATGGTAAGATGAAGCCTTGGCAAGCGGTTGGTGACAGATAACTAGATGAATGATGAGAAGTTGAGAGCAAGAGATGCTCAATGGTGTGTTTGTAGATCATGGTGTACTCGTGATAAGAAAATAAGACTTTCGTTGGGGGGGAGTGTACCAATGTGAAAGGGACTCATCTCTAAGGGGGAGATTGTTAGAATTCGAAGTGTGAGTCTAAGTCACACAATAGATAGAAATGAGAATATTAACCCATTACCTTAACAAAGGCTTCCAAGTAAGCATGTTCCGTTAAGATATGTGGAAGAAAGTCACCTTTGAGAGAGAGAATTGTTGAGAATATAAGTGTAAGTCCAAGTCTCACATTTGGTATAAATGAAAAGGTGGAGAGGTGAAGACCCATTGCCTTAAGATTTTGGACAATCTTTTATGTGATTGGACTCAAGTCTCATTGATGTTGTATATCTCGATGGACTTCTTTCTCTATAGATGCAATAAACTTACGAGCATTAAATGGATTATTAAGATTAAAATGTCTTGATCAAAATTCACCGTAACCTTATCATATAAATTTAACATCCTTTATTTCAAAACTATAATAATTATTTGGTTTAATTAACATGTTTGGTTTTATATGTTTTTTTAGTTTTATTCCATTATTTTGAATGCCTTTAATAATTTTATTCCATGTTTTAAAATAACAAATCAGTACAGTTCTTTTTATAAAAGTTATGAATCAAAGTTAACTTGTTGATAAAATTATAATCTTTAAATATTTATTTTTTATAATGAATGATATACCATCAATTAAAGTTAGTTAACTATTAATACACTACCAAAGAAAATCGATTTCTTATTAACAAAATTATAATATCTCAAATTTTCATTTTAATGTTTACTTTTATGAGGACCTTTACTATAGAACATACAATTTTAAAAGTGGTGAAGTAAAATTATTTAAGACATATTTAATGTATAAGTTTATTGAATGCTTATATATAATAATTGGTTATTGTAAGAACTATTAATTTAATGTTGATGACTATTACTTTAATAGCCTAATTTTTTTTTAGAAAACGGTATGAAAAATATAAGAATGATCTAATAAATAGTTTATTTTATTATAAAGTAAAATTTACGTCTATTAGGCAAATCTATACCAAAACTACTTTCAACTTTCCACAATGACGATACACATTTTCTTTGTTTACTTTGAACCAAACAAGTTGTTAATAATTTAAAAAGAAAGAAAAAAAATACTTAATGCATACATTAGCATGAAATATATATATATATATATATATATATATATATATATAATGAATAATTTTAAATTTGAATATTAAATATAAAATTAAATTTGTATTGATTGTATATGACGTTATTGAATTTTAAAAAATTTGTCTGTTTTTTTTTTTTTAATTTTACTGCAAAAAATATACCTAATACATTACCATGTTAGTTTTGCATATTACACAATAAATTTGATATATTAGTAATCCAGCACGAAGTGTCAATGCATAAATAAAGTTATTTTAAATTTTATTCAAATTAGATCTTAGACAAATTTTGTCATAGTTTAATTGCGAATAATTAGTTAGATTACCTAATACTAAAGAAACTGAAAATTGTAATAATATGCTAACATGACTTTAACTAAAATAATAAATTTTACTATTAAGTGACATTTTTTTTATAGCCAGCTGTATTTGACTAAGGAATTTGTTCAGGAATAAAAGTGAAGAAATATGAATAAGTAAGAGGATTAAATGACTCTTGAAAATATTAATGCCTCATAATAACTGTTAGAATACGAAATCCACATTGGACAATTGTTACAATTAGTTATGTGACTTTATTTAGAAGAGTACTTAAGATATTGGTTAGTAACATGTGTATTATTATAGTTTTAATAAGAAAAAAAAATTAATGTTTCAATCATACCAATTAGACATTTATGATTTAGTTTTTTACTTCAAGTGGTGTTTGTCACTGCTATGGACTTTTACGAACTTAAATAACAATGATCGAAAAATAAATATCGTCAAATGAAATGTGACGGTATTGTTTTGTAATTTTGACAAATTTTTACATAATTGTCACTAAAAGTGCACAACGGAGAAATAATAATGGTTTCCTACTTCAAATTCGTTAAAAAATCTACTCAATTTTTCACATTTCATTTTTTCTTCTCAAAGCTATATGTGTTATTTTTCTCTCTTGTTTTAAACTTCTATCTTTTGTACTGTTATTCACCCTTTTTAATGTTCACATTATCACTATTGTTCAGCCTAATATCGTCATTCATGCTTCTGATTGTGTCATCGTTTAAATTCGTGTGTCTTGTTGCTACGCGTTCTAGTCATGTTGTCATTGTTACATGTTATGTTCTACTCGTATCATCATTCGTTTGCATGCGCCACTTTCGTCGTCATTAGTTCAACTCCCGCATCATGTGATGTGAACTTCCAAACCCTACAAAGCTTTACGCACCACATCATGCACTTTGAAAACCTGTGAGACTCTGTCACATTGCGTCATGCAACCTTTGCATCATATGAAGCTCTTATGTACAACATCACACTTCTCGTAACTCCTCTTCACACTGCATCATTGTACCTCCACCTTTGTAGTGTCAAACCTTTATAAGCGGTTCACGTGAAACCTAATGCATTCTTTGCGAGAAGTCCACAAGAAAAATGACACAACCTTTGCATTTTAAACCCTAATTTTTTTAATGAAGGTTAGAATTTAGAACCGACTTCATTTTAAAAAATTTTAACAACGGTTCAGAACCATCATGAAATTCGCAACCTTTTAACGATGTCTAATATAATGACAGTTAAAAGTTTGTCTTTAAAAGCCTTATTTAACTGTTGTTAAAAACATTTTTCGAAGTAGAGTGTATAACTTATACTTTCAATTAAAAAAAATATTATGATTGGTCTTATCATTATTTATTATTATTACCATTTTCTCAAACCTAATATATTGTCATGCCTAACTATAACTATTTATCGATGTGAT